ACACAAACTCAATCTGCTGACGGTGCTGGACGCTAGAGAATATGACCTGAAGTTAATAAAGAGAATAAACTACACACAAGATGGTCCAGTTTGTAGAGTAAAATATGGCAGGATGAGGGAATGTGATCTTTATAATAACAGACCTGAAGTGACCTTCATTAATGGGACTGTGATAATAAAGCGTGTGATCAGAGCAGATTCAGGGAATTACACATTAACACTCCATCACTCAGACGGCACAGAAACATCTCGAGGAGATCTTCAAGTGATTGTTGAAGGTACAGAAACTCTCTCATCAGACTCGTTCCAGTCTCATGTTCTCCAAAGATCTCACTCTCATGCAGATCAATCAGTTGAATCTCTGGGAAGGTTTTTATTCCTGAAGCACACAGTAAACACACTACAGACTCCAGAGTGCGGTCCGTCTGCAGTGCAGAAGCAGCACGGACACATTGTGCTTTCACACAGGACGGGTTTGCAGTCCGCTCCTGATCCGCGGCTGTATATCACAAACACAACATTTATCCATTATTTTGATTTCAGATCCAAACGTAGTTAGCCTATACTGAAAGTGCTTTTCTCATCATTGTGATCCTCTTTTGACACAGTACAGTTAACACAATCTTTCATAGATGTATTCACGTTTAAACTCAATTAATATAAACAGCGTATTAAATGCATTTGGCTTTTAGATTTGCATATTAAGTTGCTCAAGCAAGTGGAAACGCGCCGCACCTGTAGCGCACTGACGGAAAGCAGTGTGAAAGCTCTAATCCGTTAACATGGGTGCGTAAAAAAAACGCAACGCAACGCACTGCAGACGGAGTATGTGTGAAACAGGCGTCATACCCACACTTGCGGTCTTGGCCACTTAAAGAGCGAAGGAGGAAGTGCGTGCGCAAGACTGTCCCAGGTTTTAATGAGGTCATATGATGTTGCTAAAAATAACATTATTTGGTGTATTTGGTGTAATGAAATGTTTATGCGGTTTAAGGTTCAAAAAACACATTATTTTCCACATACTGTACATTATTGTTTCTCCTCTATGCCCCGCCTTTCTGAAACGCGTCAAAGTAGTTTCGCTTTCACAACGAAACAGTGTCACACACGGCGGCCTAGAGTGAGCGGAGGCGGCGGGGTTGAGAACGGTTTCACAACAAAACACAGCGCCTTCACGACATGGCGGCGGCGGCAGCAACAATACTACAGCAAGAATAAAAGTTACGCCTTCTTTCTTTGTGTGAACATTTGGGCGGCGTTATGCAAATCTTCCCACATAGTGAGGTAGACATGTGGGGGCGTGTTAGAACGAGCCGTTTTAGGGGGGCGTGGCTGACTCTTTACTTTTATAAAGAATATCTCTTTGGATTTGAGAGTTTAGTCTCTGCAACTTTACAGATCTTCTTTATGCACCAAGAGCTTGTAACACTCCAAAGAGAAAGAAAAACTTGAAATCGCATAATATGACCCCTTTAAAAACGTCAGAGTGCAGTGCCCTTAACGCACATTAAACCCACACTATCTCGAATACCGCTCCGGAGCGTTATTCGAGGGTTAGTGTATCCCATCATGCATCATGTTGTGGAAATAAATCATGAGACTTTTTCCAGAGATCTCATGAGAGGTCACGGAAACCTTTCCAATGTATGTGAAATATTAATAATAATTAGATATTACATATAATTTGTTAGTAAAACAAAGAGTTGCATGTTTTATTGGTGCAAATGAGTAGTGGTGATAATTATTTTGTACAACATTTGCAACTGCTTTTTATCAAAAGAAGCACCACAAAATTAAATTGTGTCATCTGTTAAAGAGACTACAGAACAGATATTTAGAAGTTGATTTTAATATGCAAAGTATTGAAAATAAAAATAAGGCTCTGTAAACACTTGCATTTTTACAACACTATAAGTGTGTCCCTTCATAGAAGTTGTCAAGTGGTCAAGTGCAAAGACCACGAGTGTGGGTGTTTGGACAAGGCATTGGGTCAGGGCCTGAGTCGTGTGGAAGAACAAGATTCTCCTGTGTTTGTCATGTGACTGTCATGTGTCCCTCCCTCCAGCTGCTATTGGCTCAGTGGAAGTGTCAATCATCTGCTCCTCCAATCAGAGGTCAGTGTTCTGCTCCTCTGAGGGGGATCAGCTCCTCTACAGCTGGACTCTGAATGGAGATCCACTGATGGATGGAAAGAGCAGCATTGATCTGGATGAGGGAACTGATGGAAACATCAGCTGCAGCGTGAAGAACCACGTCAGTCACACACAGAAGACCATTAGACTCCAACCCTGTACTGGTGAGCTTCTAATACATGAATGAAGTATTTGCTAGACAACAGCAACAGCAACAAGAGTGATGCAGAATCTCACAAAACCTGTCAGGAACCTGTCAAAGTCACATTTCACCACTGAATCCCCTTATGACAGAATGCAGTATCTCTGAAGCGTATTTCGGGGGACTGTGATGAGTTTAACTCCTCTAGGACTCTCCTTTTTTTTGTTAATTCATAATAAAAGATTTTGAATGAAGTGTGACCAGATTTAGATTTTTTTTAAATCATCAATAAACTTTTAAAACTTTTTTTTATTTGTTTATATATAAATATATATTACTTGTTTTCACTTATTTCTTGACAGTAGCTGGAGTGGCACTAAATTTTAAACAACAAACAAAAATCTCACCCAAAAAATCAAAAGAATTTATATTTTGCATAAGGACTATTTTACAACCATTCATTTTATTTGCATTGTGATATTATTTGCATGACGCTTAAAAACACTCAATATCCTAAATTTTCATTACTATAATGTTCAAGAATTTAGTTTATTTTTGTAATTGCAATTATTTACAAAGATAATTTATTTGATTTGTATTACTGCAGTTGCATATGATACATTTGTCTCAGGTACATTTTTGATGATGAAATGATGATTTTAATTAGATTTTAATTATAACTTAATATAAAGATGGAAAAAATACTATAATTACAGTATGTATACTTTACTTTTTATAATATAATTTTATTTTTTAAAATGCATTCATGTATTATTTATTTTTATTTTTTTGCATTTTCCTCATAAGTCAGAAATTATATTTGAGGGGTAACTATTACAATTCAAAACAGTTTAATGCCCATAAAAACATTAAATGAGACATGCAAAATATTTACTGTATAATGCAGTTCTGAACTGAAATGTGACCTGGAATATGTCCTTGTTTTCATGAGATTCAGACAAATCGATTCTCTTACTTGCCCATTTAATTCTTCAAAAATGTAGTACTTCATATTAAGAGAGAAAGCAGGTGATTCTGTGCTGATGTTTTATTACAGGACCAACTACTGCAGCTGTGACCTCTAGTTTGACCCCTACGTTGAAACAGTCATCAGAAAATGGTACGAGTTTCTCATCAGCAAATACGAATCAAACCCACACTCAGAGCCTTGAAGAATTTCCAAAAATGTGTGAGTGCTGAACAACAACAAATACTGCAAATTACCAATAAACCCAGTAATAATGATGGCAGTGAGGGATTCACAGACGCTTCTGTAGCTAATATGATTGTTGAACTAATTCACTGTGCTGTTAATTGCATGAAGTTGTTCTGTTCTTGTTGCTGTTGCAGTTGTTATGAATGAACTTTTCAAAGCAGTTTTGGGGTTGTTTTAAGTGGCCTTGTGTTTTTTCTTCCATAGTTTTAAAATTTTCTCTGATTACTTTGGGCTGCGTTGCTCTGGTCCTGATTCTGCTGTTCTTCACCGTATGTTATATTTACAAGAAGAAGCAGCTCAAGTCGACACCAGGTCAGTGTGTTTAAATCTCTAGTTCATATATTAACTGATGAAGGTTCAAATGTAGTACTATTTGTAGCTTATGTGTTATATATGCTGCAGAGATGTGTTTGGTCATTGCACTCTCTTACAGACAGCTTCAAACACAATTACACCAAAAGCCAAAGTAGAAACATTTGAGATGTGATGAAAATGATCTGAGCCAGTTTTGGTGGAGATTTGACAAACTTTCTGGGGTTAAAATTGGTGCAAAATGGCAGAAAGGCTTTGAAACTATTATTCCTCAAGCATCATGAATATTTAGAAAGAAAAGTATTTAGTTTTAACCAGATTATTTGATAATGATTTTTGACCATTAATTTAAGTACTTGAGTTTGATCACAGTATGAAGAGCAAAGTTAAAGTCATTCGACCTCATTCATGAAAACATGAGCATATTTAATATTTTCTAATGTAAATTGTTCTAAAAGCTGTTCTGATTAATGAAAGTATTTGTATTTTCAAAATGCTGGTTGGTTTGAAAAATGTACACCAGCTTCCAACATGTAAAACATGCATAAAACATCCAAATGTTTAGTGCTCTTTTGACACTACATTACCATAATAGTATATAATTACAAAATTAATTAGTTAAGCAGTTAGTTAATAGTTAGCCAATTATAAATGTGCAGACATGCACGCCTTGTTTATGAATGACTGGAATTCATTAACATACTGAACATGTTTAACTATGTAATCTGAGGTTAAATTAAGCGTTTGTGAATTTTTTGGGAAGGTACTTTCTATGTGCGTTTCAAAGATATTCAAATATTGGTGAATATATGACCTCACTTACTGTATTCTTTCCTTGCTTTTTTCTCAGTGCGTTACATGCAAACAGTCTGATGAGCCCGTTCTCATGAAAATGCGTATAAATAGTACGCCAAATAAAAACGAAAACTCGTGGTATTGATACGCAAAAATGGACTTTGGTGTGCAGATAATACGCAGTTTTTGCATGCATATGATACGAAATTTGTTGGCGTGCATATGATACGCATCTACCCCAAAACCCTAAATCTACCCATCGCGTAGCATATACACGCCAATGTCCATTTTTGCATTATCAATACCAGGAGTTTTCATTTTTATTTGGCGTACTATTTATACGCACTTTCATGAGATCGGGTTGGTCTGATATGTGAAAAACGTTTAGCCAGCATGATCTGAGGATAGTTTTGAAGGCAATACTTTAATGACTGAAATATGAGATTGTAGTTGATCTGTTGCTAATGTCAGTGTTTTCCCGTCAGCTGGAGATACAGAGCTCATATACGCTGATATCTCTCATGAGAAAAAGGGTGAAAAGAAGAATACAGGTAAGAAACTCCGTGAAGCTCAGAGATCAACTTTACACTGTAAAACAACACAAGAATCTGTCAGCTTGTGGTTTATTATTCTCAATCATTAAATTAGTGACGCTACTCCCTAAAACTCAAGCTCATACGGTGACTATCACCTTCCTGTTGATTTATCACTTCAGATGCAGACTAAAAGAAAAGATGAAGTAGAAACTGGTTGCATCTGTCTTTTAAAATCACTTAGTTTAACGTTTGAAAGCTGCTTTATGGTTTAAGATCATGTTTAAAACTCAAATCTAAGTGAACAACTCTTTTCAGCTCTTTTGGAGTTGATTCTTTAGCTCTGAATGAGTTCCCATCCCATGTTCAGTGCAAAGTTGTTACTGTGTTTTTCCCCTTTTTACACAAATGGAGAAGTGACTCAGAGAAAGTGTCATCATTAAACTCTTTCTACAGGATGACGGAAAGACTTCAATTGCAGGGTTGACTAGTCAAGCTCAACCATTCGACGCTAGGCTAAATCTGCAACTTGTTACTCATTCTGACGTAGAGTTAAAATAGACGTCTCCGTGATGTACGTGTGCTATCAGGGTGTCAGAAAGTGAACTTGCTGCAATATAATGATTTTCTAATTCAGAATATGATCAAAGATCGTGTAAATGTATCAAATTTAAACATTTAGCTGCTCAATTGAACGAAATGACTCAGAGATTCGTTCATTTTATTGAATGAGAATGAGCAAGAGAGTTGTTAAAATGATCCGATCTTCCCATCGCTAGTTAAACTTGCACTGGATTTGATCTTTTTTCATCATTATTGTTTGCTACTTTCTTAGTAAAATAGTTTCACTCCTGAAAAGCTTCATTTGTCAGTTAGCAGTTGTGGTAAAGCTGCTATTTCTGCAGTAGACTAGCAGTGACTAACAGCTATCCAGAACGTCTTGTCATCATTTCTCCTTTCTCATCGCAGAATCTTTCCTGGCTGCTGATGTGGAATACGCCGCAGTCCAACCGCAGACAAAGAGGAAGAAGAAGGTTAAGGAGGAGGAGGTTCAGTACGGCGAGGTTATGTTCACTCCGAACCACTCAAACGCTCCGCAGCAGCGGCTTCAGGAGGAGTGTGTTTACTCGCAGGTACAGAGACGCTAGTTTCACAGCGACAACTTGTGTAGGATCGCACGTTCCCTGGGAAACCGAGTGCTTATTTTCACTTATGTTTGGCTTTGGAAGTTTTTATATTATTGGGAGGTTATATAAAGCACATATCTCTTTGCATTTGTAAACTATTTAGCTTGACAGGTTAACGACGGTACTGTATGTTGATATGTGGTGTTACGGGTTGTATACCGTGAGTTTAACGTACAAGTCTGGGCTGAACTGTTAGATCATGAGTAAGCAAAACAATGAAAAAAAGAGGAAACCAATCGCATGTTATTTTCCCTCGAACTACTGAGCACTTCTGTTTTTAGCACTTCCCGATTTGCAACTGCGACTGTATGACGGCAAGAAAAAGCTTAAAAGAAAGTGCTCAAAAGTCATGAAAACACACCCTGATAGCACACGTACATCACGGAGACATCTATTTAACATCTGCAAGACATATTTTTAAGAGTGTTTGCTCATCTGCAATACGTCTACTGGACGTTTCCTATCAGATGTCAAATAGACGTTTAGAAGATGTCTTTAAGATGTTAATGATTTAGATTGAATGTAAAACTGGCATCTTAAAGACGTCTTTCAGATGTTTGTACACCGCAGATGCTTTCCAGATGAAGCGATCTTTAACAGACATCTTGCAGACGTGATGCAGTTTGGTGATTTAGAATTAAAACATTTCAAAGCAATTGAAGTCACAGAAAATCTGAGCTTTGCTAGATTGAGTTATGCATTTCTGAATTTGGCCGTCTGGAGCGAGTTGAAGCAGTCACATGTTGTTCTGAAACTTTTACAGCAGGGTCGGAAATTAACGGGGGCTTGTGGCAAAAATGCCACCAAACTGAACAAAAATTCCCCACAAATTCAAGATGAAGGGGCAAAAATTGCCTCTGCACAATTAAACAATGCTCTACAGCTGTCACGATTAAAATTAAATGTGCAAATAGGGTATATGTCGAACATCACCTGACCAAACCCAGAAAACAGGTCTCATTGCTTCCGCTTGTCGGAGAACGTGTGGTAACACTTTATTTCGATAGTCCACTTTAGACATTCTACTAACAGTAAGTAACTTTGCAACTACATGTCAACTAACAGTTAGTAGAGTATTAGTAGACTGTCTGCTTAATATCTTCTAACACTTTCTTTGTCAACTTATTCTACTAACCCTAAACCTACCCTAACAGTCTACTCTGAGAGTTAGTAGACATGTAGTTGCAAATTAATGAGAGTTAGTTGACATGTAGTTGACATGTAGTTACAAAGTTACTGATAGTTAATAGAATGTCTAAAGTGGACTATCGAAATAAAGTGTAACCAAATGGGTTAACAGCCGTATTAAATAATAGCGATATAGACTTTTAAGATAATCAGTTAAACTAGCTAGCTGTTTTTATTGTTGACGTTTTATTAAATTTTTATATCTAAATGTGAAAAGACTTTTAGATATCAGTCCGCATATGTGATGGACATTGGTTATGATCATCATTGGTATCTACTTTGAATGCATCTTGAGTAAAACTGCTTCATATTTAACTAAGCATATGCAAAACGCTTGAACCGGAAGCGACGAGACCCGGTTAACAGAATACGGAAGTCTGTTGCGCATAACCCCTATTAATGAAAAATGTCTATTCGTGCATTACATTTTGATCCGCTCACACTGCATCAGATTGCTTTTTACGCTTTTTTTTTTTCTTTTGCGGTGTTGAGCTTTGGAATGCAATGTCCAATCAGAGATGCTTAGATTAGTCAGCGCTGAAGACTCACATCCCACATCATAAACAACACAGTGCAGATACGATGTAGATAAAAGATTCATTTCATAGCATCAGTTATTATAATGGGAGTTTTTGCTTAACTTGTGCTCGACTAGTCTAACGTCATGGATCGACGTGTTTGTCTCTGAAGCCAGAGCCAGAATATATGACGAGCCGTTTCGCAGACACAAAGCACAAAAAAGTTTGAATATGTATTCTATTAATCAGTATTAATATTATTACAATATCATGAGCAATAATCGATAATAACGATTTTTGTCATTGCCATATTGGCTTCTGTTTTTAAACGTATAATTAAGATACAATTTCAAACAGTCAGTTGCTATTGGCAATAGTTTAAAGTATTTTGACTGATTGAAGTAATTGGTTAAAGCCAAATATTTGACATTAAAGACAACACAGATACGATTATAAAGGTGGTGATAAAAATTGCCCTCACGAATGTACATAATCAGTTCATTTCTGACCCTGGTTTACAGAACATTTCTGTTTACAGATACATATTGCATTATTAATGTCTGCACAATTAAACAATGCTCTACAGCTGTCACGATTAAAATTAAATGTGCAAATAGGGTATATGTCGAACATCACCTGACCAAACCCAGAAAACAGGTCTCATTGCTTCCGCTTGTCGGAGAACGTGTGGTAACACTTTAATTCGATAGTCCACTTTAGACATTCTACTAACAGTAAGTAACTTTGCAACTACATGTCAACTAACAGTTAGTAGAGTATTAGTAGACTGTCTGCTTAATATCTTCTAACACTTTCTTTGTCAACTTATTCTACTAACCCTAAACCTACCCTAACAGTCTACTCTGAGAGTTAGTAGACATGTAGTTGCAAATTAATGAGAGTTAGTTGACATGTAGTTGACATGTAGTTACAAAGTTACTGATAGTTAATAGAATGTCTAAAGTGGACTATCGAAATAAAGTGTAACCAAATGGGTTAACAGCCGTATTAAATAATAGCGATATAGACTTTTAAGATAATCAGTTAAACTAGCTAGCTGTTTTTATTGTTGACGTTTTATTAAATTTTTATATCTAAATGTGAAAAGACTTTTAGATATCAGTCCGCATATGTGATGGACATTGGTTATGATCATCATTGGTATCTACTTTGAATGCATCTTGAGTAAAACTGCTTCATATTTAACTAAGCATATGCAAAACGCTTGAACCGGAAGCGACGAGACCCGGTTAACAGAATACGGAAGTCTGTTGCGCATAACCCCTATTAATGAAAAATGTCTATTCGTGCATTACATTTTGATCCGCTCACACTGCATCAGATTGCTTTTTACGCTTTTTTTTTTTCTTTTGCGGTGTTGAGCTTTGGAATGCAATGTCCAATCAGAGATGCTTAGATTAGTCAGCGCTGAAGACTCACATCCCACATCATAAACAACACAGTGCAGATACGATGTAGATAAAAGATTAATTTCATAGCATCAGTTATTATAATGGGAGTTTTTGCTTAACTTGTGCTCGACTAGTCTAACGTCATGGATCGACGTGTTTGTCTCTGAAGCCAGAGCCAGAATATATGACGAGCCGTTTCGCAAACACAAAGCACAAAAAAGTTTTAATATGTATTCTATTAATCAGTATTAATATTATTACAATATCATGAGCAAAAATCGATAATAACGATTTTTGTCATTGCCATATTGGCTTCTGTTTTTAAACGTATAATTAAGATACAATTTCAAACAGTCAGTTGCTATTGGCAATAGTTTAAAGTATTTTGACTGATTGAAGTAATTGGTTAAAGCCAAATATTTGACATTAAAGACAACACAGATACGATTATAAAGGTGGTGATAAAAATTGCCCTCACGAATGTACATAATCAGTATATCCTTCAAAAAGTTCTCTCCAATATAACGTATACATAAAATAATGTTAAGTAAAATTTAAAAAGTCAAAGGCTTCTTGCTCTGCATGTGCTGGTTTGGGCCTCATCTCTGGCTGCAGTAATAATGTCCTCATCTCATATGTGACCCTGAATAAGCTGAATAAATAAGCTTTCCACTGATGTATGGTTTGTTAGGATAGGACAATATTTGGCCGAGATACAACTATTTGAAAATCTGGAATCTGAGGGTGCAAAAAAATCTAAATATTGAGAAAATCATCTTTAAAGTTGTTCAAATGAAGTTCTTAGGAATGCATATTACTAATCAAAAATTAAGTTTTGATATATTTACGGTAGGACATTTACAAAATATCTTCATGGAACACGATCTTTACTTAATATCCTAATGATTTTTGGCATAAAAGAAAAATCTATAATTTTACTATTTAAAAAAACAATGTTTTTTTTTTTTGTGGCTATTGCTACAAATATACCCCAGAGACTTAATTCTGCTTTTGTGCTCCAGGGTCACATATATAAAACACCAGCGATTCACAACTACCTGCTAACGCACTCGCATAAAGAAGCCTTGTTGACAAGTTTGGGTGAGTAAGGGCAAAATGCACAAGATATAGTGCTTTCAGTGCCCTGCAGATGATAATATTCCTTCTTTTGTAGCAGAAGTAAACAGCTGAAGAAAAGCTAGGTGCCAGACAACTAGTACAAAGGTACTAGAGTAAAGAGTGTATATCTCGATTCAAAAATGTAGAGAGTAAAAGTTGCACTCGCTCAAGTACTCAAGCACAGTAACTAATTATGAAATGCAAGTAAAGTGTCTGCTTTAATCTTTCAAATAACTTATGTGAAAATAAAATGCCAAAAATGGGTGAAATAATCATGCAGCGCAACAGATTTATGTGAAACACCATACTTATTCTGACCTGTACCTATTAAAATATATATATATAAATATATAGGGACTGCGGATGTAAATTAGCAATGTTGCTATAATCCGGCTTGTTTGCATTCTGTATTACTACAAGTGTTCATTAACATGCATTGTCCCTTTCAAAAAAATAAACAAACATTTGTAAAAGAATAAGCAAGCGTACTAAATTTGATTACATTTTAAATGCCTAAAGATTTCTTGCTTGCAAAAACCTATAGTGGCAAAGATTGGGAAAGATTTCAAATTGAACTTTGATCCTTGAATAGTCTTTTAATGAAATCTAATGAGTATGCACGCAAAAAAATGCTGGGATGATTCAACCCAACTTTGGGTCAAATATGGACTAACCCAACTTTTGGGTTAAAAATTGAATGTATAAATTT